TGATGTGAACGACTCTTTGATGTCTAAGGAACTAAAAATAAACATTTCAGTTGGAGAAGAAATATTTGGTTCCAATTTGTTCGCAGCTAGAGGAAGAACATCAAATAGAGGTGGAGGTAACAAAGGGAACTCAAGTTTTGAATCTAAAGCCAACATCAAATTTTATAACTGAAGGAGAAGGGTCACTACAAATGAGATTGTTATTTTCTGAAGAAAGTAAAAAATGGTGTTGGACTAAGCAACAACAATGCTGTTGTGGTTAATGGAAATTTTGATGAAATGGATGATGGTGGAGTTTTCACTGTTTGTACATCTTCTTCTGCTGATGTTTGGGTATTGGACTCTAGATCATCGTATCATATGACATGTAATCATAAATGATTCGAATCCTTCAAAGAGTGGAATGGCACAGTCAAGATGGGTGATGATTGGGTGAGCCGTATCAAGTGTAGTGGCATGGTTTAGATCAAGATGCATAATTGTATGGTCAAGAAACTGGATTATTGGTTCGTCCCAGAACTTCGAAAGAATTTGATTTCTCATGGAACTTTGGCGAAGGATGGATTGAGGTATTTTGGAAAAGGTGAATGGGTAAGAGTCTACAAAGGTGCTCGTGTAGTTATGAAGGGAATGATGAATCCTCGTATGATTTATATTCTGGATGGCTGTACAATTAGGGGAACGGTGACTGTATCCCAAACCTTGGATCAGTATAATGATGAAAGAAAGTTGTGACATCATAAGTTAGGACATGTGAGCAAAAAGGGGTTGTTTTTCGGAGATTCAACTAGAAATACTAAACCTGGAGAAGCTTGTGTTCAAGATACAAAGTACGGTGAAGTTTTGTTTGGTTCAAAACTCAAGCAAGGAGATTCACGAGTGTGTTCACTCAGATCTATGGGATCCCACTCCTATGAAGGCTCATGGTGGATGTTAGTACTTTGTGACTTTTATCGATGAATACTCAAGGAAGAGCTGGGTGTACTTTTTAAAGACAAACAACCAAGATGAAGTATTTGGGCGGTTCAAGGAGTGGAAGGCGATGGTTGAGAAATAGACCAAGAATCATGTCAGGTCACTAAAATCAGAAAATGAGTTGGAGTCCTATTTGGCTTCATTTGAAAACTTCTGCAAAACAGAAGGTATAGTGAGGCATCACACTATACGGATAACACCACAAAAAGTGGAGTGGCAGAACGAATGAACCAAACACTGATGGAGCACGCTCAATGCATGCGATTATCTGCTAATTTATCAGAGCAATTTAGGGTGGAAGCAGTCAACACTACTAGCTATCTGGCTAATAGATCTCCATCAACTGCAATTGATTGTAAGACTCCTCAAGAGGTGTGGTCTGGGAAATTCTTTAAGAACACTAGTTTTTTGAGTGTTTGGATTCTCTGCTTATGCTTGTGTGAATGATGGTAAACTGGAGCGTAGAGAAATGAAGTGCATATTTCTAGGATATGCATATGGAGGGAAAGGTTATTGTCTGTGGTGTACTATCAAAACTAGCAAATTAGGGTTAGAATTTCTATCTTTGTGTAATCTTATAACCCTACTTTTGGTGTAAACAAAACTTCAATACTATACAAGTTTATAAATCTAAATAGCGATTCAAGTTGAAACTTCCTTAGGTAGGCCCAAAAACTTAACCCGATAAGCTAAGTCCACTCAACTTTGGGCCTTACCCAAGCTTCTCGGCCCAAGTCCCTATTTGGGCAAGATTCCACTATTGGGCCTTAATTGGCTAATAAACCCTCAACATGATCCTTATGGGTCGTAAACCTTTCCAAATGATCTTTTAGGACATAAAACCCTTATTGGGTTGCAATAATTTATTCTTAGACTCTAATAGGCCTTCCAAGACCAAAAACCACTATTAGGCTCCTTTTTTGGGCCAAAAGACGTAGTTGACTTTCATATGAACCGAGAATTCATATTTAGGCCATAGTTGGGCCGAAAATCATTTTTTGGGCTCATTGAATCGATAAGCAACATTGGGCCTTCATTTGGGCCGAAAAATGAGCTTGTGTGAATAATTTAGGAGCTAAAAGGAAGTTAACAAGGATGGACATACAGAGTTATAGAAGAACATGATGGTTATATATTTCTGATTACTTTGAGAAAGCCTTTCAGTCGTTCTATTATGATCCGTCCAAACTTGATGGTTCTTCGTTGGTGGTTCAAGGCAATCATAAAAAAAGTCAATGGGAAGTGGTTAAGTAGATCTTGTGACCCATGAAGGGAACACTTAATGCTTTTCTGGTGTATGGTGAAAATGCACGACATATGGACTTGGTTGGATTGATAGACTTTGACCATGAAAGTGATTCGGATATAAGAAGATCATTTACAGTTGGACTTGTTAAGAGTCCTCTTTTAAAAGTGGAGAAACCTATCATGTTCGATGACATGTTATGGATTAAAAAGTCTAGTGCCAAGGAGAATCTGGAAGACATGGTGACAAGGACGTTTCCTAGAGAGATTTCCAAGCTTGGCTTGAAGTTGGTTGATGTTTACAAGAAGTAAGCCCTTTGGGGCTTAATGAAAAGATGGGAGAGTAAGTTATTGTTGGAGGTGGAGTTTAGAGGATACTCAAGTCAAGGTGTAGAGTGTTAAATGTGACTAGAGAATTTAGATCATGTTCATGGAGCATTTGGAGCACTTGGAACTTAATGGAGAACTTGGGGTTGATGGAGCATTTTACAAAGGAATAAATCATATGAGAAAGGAATGGATCGCCTGACAAACAAACGTAACATGTGACAAAGGAACATATCATACTAAAGGGGGTTTGGAGAAATTGGAAGAGGTTTGGAGCACTTCAGAGTGATATAGAGCATCAAGGGAATCTTGTTGCACCATATGATAAAAGGATGGGCCAAGAGTTATCCTCTTACGTCGTGGCACTCCGTCTTGCACCATGAGGTACCTCTCATGCATCATGATGTACTCCTTTTACGCCATGCATGTACTTACTGCACTATGCATGTGTCTGTTGCACCATCCGTATTCCTTATTGTGCCATCTGTAGAAGTTGTTGTGCCATTCACATTGCTGTTTGCGCCATGATGGCGCAAGTTGGACCTTCTTGGTCTTTGATGACCTAAGTATGCTATGAAGTCCTGTATGATGCTCAAGATCGTTCAAGGATGCTATGAAGTTGGCATTGCTCAAGGATTACACCATGTTGTGCTACCATGATGGTTGTTAGGCCATTAGTGTTCATGATCCGCCACTTGTACATCATGATGCTGCACTATGGCACAAGGTGCTCCATCATGTGTGTTGTTAATGTTGCCAAGAACAAAGCAAAGATTTATAAGAAAAGAAAGCTATAAACCAAGGGGCAGATTGTGACGTCATAAATTATGCTATATACTTTGCGTTTAATATGCTATTAAAGTTCTCAGTCTAGGATCGAAAACACCATGTTTTGGTGTTGTTTGGACCGACAGTACATGTGATTTCTGTTAGGCTTAATATTGTCTTGTGTGGGTTTTGGGATGGGCTTTGGTTATTAGGTCTAGATACAAATAGTGTTATTTTAGCCTTGAATTTGCACCTTCTTCCTATCTATAGTTGAATCACCAATACTACTCAAGTCATAACTTTGTATAGTTAATGAAAATCCGTACATTCCCATGTCCTTATTTTTTTTTTTGGAATTTAGTTAAGCTTATATGCTACTATTCTCTACATATCTCTCTTTAACTATCAATCAATTCCAATTTTTTTCTCTTTTTTTATTCACTCAAGATATGACTACCAAAGAAGTTGGACAGACTTCTAAAACAACAACTTCTCATAAGGCGTCCAAATCTCAAGCAACATGATCTTCCATGGTGCTAGACACATCTTCATCAAAATGATCATAGCTTCATCCAACTATATCACACCTCTCGACACTAAGGCACAACCCAAAGAAATAAGTGTTATAGTTGAATATATGCAAAAATTCCCACAGGCATATGCACTCATGGCTACCTTTCAGATTCCAAAGTCTCTTATTTTAGAATTCTTTCAATCAGTAACATAACTCTAAGAGCAAGTTTAAAAGAGCTTGATATCGAACTTGACCTTGAACAGACTATCTTGGTACTAAATAAAGAAGAGTTTGCAACTTGTTTAGGTCTAAACAATGGTTCTTGTGAACATTCAACATTTGTCACACCTTCTTCTACTCAGATGTTGACAATGCTTAAGGAAATGGGGTACAAATTTTAAGAAAAAGTTGAACAAAACCTCTAAATGAATAAGAAATCACGCCTTCCAGCACAGTTACACTTTCTCAACTCCATCCTCACTCGGTGTCTTTTCGGGTCTATTTCTGAATGTAGTCGTGGTACAAAAAATCTTTGGATTGTCATGTATATATGGACTTTATTATGATATCCTCATTATGGTCCATCATTATTCATGATGTCATAACTAATACCAATCTTCCCCCAGAGGAGTTTCCAGAAGGCCTACTGCTTATATTCTTGCATATGTGACCATATCGGCTTCGTATTGCATCTGAATCTATGTTTTCACATCTAGTCATCATTCTAGATGTTATTCTAGCAAAGTTGGGTGAAAACAGTGCTTCTCTATGCTCATATCTAAAATACATCATTGGAATTACTTTTTCTCCTAGAAGGAAAAGGATGCACTCAGATCATGCTTAAAAGAAGTTGGCAAAGAAGAAGAAGAAATCAAAGTTAGATCAACAACCATCTATTCAATCTCCAGAGATATTTGAAGATAATCTCAGAGTAGACTTAGATGAGCCCACATCTCCTCATTAATCTAGTACAACCAATCAGACACTCCCTTTAATATCCTTGTTTTAAGCTCCATCTGATTATGTCAAATCATCAGCCCCAACTCCAGATTCACCAATATGTTTTAAGTCCGGTCACGAGGACAATATACAAGAAGGTGTAAAACAATCTGAACTTGAAGATCTCTCTTAAAGATCTCCAGTACAAGATAATCAAGATGAGGATACTCCAATGCAGAAAATAGTGATACCTTCCACTGAAGGACTTATAGTTGATGACGAACCAAATGACATGTCAATCTTCCTATACTCCAAAGCATCTACCAAAACATTCAACATTGATCTTGACGACTACTCACCCTCACCACAAAAAGAGTCTCAAGAAAATGATAAAAATCAAGACGAAAAGTTCTCTACTTTTCAATTGGATCCTCCTCAGGAAGATGATGCTCAAGCACATAAAGAGGAAGAAACTATGTCTGAACTTGTGCCTAAACATATTCGACTAATTGCCCAGATGATAGCTGATGGCATTGAGGAAATCCCCTTCCACACATCCTCTCATTCAAAGTATCTAGATAAATCTCAATGGTATCTAGAACGTATGGTAGACAATGTGTGTATCCTTAATAAGACAAGTGAAGTACTGGTGAAAAAACTATTGGTCACCATTGTAGACTTTCATGACACAAATTTGTATATCAAGGGACAAACTATTCGTAACATGCGAAAGATCGAAAGACTAGATCCATAAATTCAAAAGACCATTGAAGATCATCTCTCTCCAACGTATCAGAGGATCAATTATTTTCTCTAGTCTTTATCAAATTTAGATTTCTTTTATGAAGCTAAAATAGATCATATACATGGTAATATAGCTGCTCAAGACCACTATATTGCCAGTTTTGAAAAAGTCAGTTGCAGATCTTTCCAAAGCTTCAGAATCATCTTCAGCTACTCCCTTTCAAGAATTTACTGAGCAAGTTTAAAGTCAATCGGATTCATTGCACTCTGACATTGCAAATCTCTCTAAATCTAATTCTCGGAAGGTCCATGACTACTCGGGTGATATCCCTTCTCTTCAGAAAATTGTTCAGCTACTAGTCAATGGAGTTAATGATATTAGGACACAATCTCCTTCTTATGATATTTGTGAGCTTCTACAAAAAGTTTCCTCGTCTGACTCCAAGCTAGACTTGATCCTGGAAAAATTATATGATTCAAATAATAGGCCACCTAAACCAGAGGGGAAAATGTAAACAAGTCCAGATCAATTCATTCTCCTATCATTCATCAAGTTCCAGGTTCACCAAATGTATTTGAGAAAAAGAGAAATAAAAAATTAGTTTCAATTGAGAAAATGGTTGCTGAAGTAAGACCAAAAGCATAACAAAATAGAGCATGAATGGTAGAAACTGAAAAAGCAACTCATTTAAAGACAAGGGTTCAAGGATCCAACACTAAGGTTGCCAAGAAAGAAAAATGTATCCATCACCAAACCTGTAAATATATTACAACCAATCGTCCAACCAAAGCTTCCCAAAATCGATCATAAGAATAGAGTAAAACAAAAGGTTGTCTTCAAATAAAAGAAGGAGTTAGCCAAAGAAGCTCAACAAAAATTGGATGAAGAATTAGCAAAGGAACTTTAGGATGAGAAATTAAAGTCTAATCAAGAGGTGCTTCTTGGAAAGAAATCATTAGAGATCTCTCCTGAAGAAAGAAACACATGGCATGATAAACAATTCTGAGCATCATCTCCTAAGAGGGCCATCTTCTTTAATCATGGTACATATTCATATAAGAATATAAGGTCATCAAGAATGAAAATTCAGTCACACCTCCTTCAGTTCCCTTTAAAGATAATTGGGATATCCCTGCACCCCCGAATGGTAGAAAGTTCAATGTGTGGCCAAGTGTAATATATCTAGTTAAGCCTGGTATAGACATTGAAGAGGTGAAGAAATGATGCATCTTGGAGAAACCAATTCAAGTTGTCTCTGGATAGTTAAAGTTCAAAATTGCTTCAATTAGTAAAATTGAAATCCAAGAATTTTGAAATATTTCATATGCTTTCTTTCAAGGAAAAAGGACAGACAACTCTGAATTCATGTTTTCTGAAGCTGATTTCCCTAGGATAAATCAAGTTGATGTCAGATCGTTGGTTATTTGGTTGAAGCAGAGGGCGAGTACTAATAAATCTTATGCATATGCCCTACATCACTTGAGGAAATATGTTTTGGATATGGTTGTTGATTTCAATGTTGTCTAGGAAATAGGAGAACTTAGAGAAAAGGAAGTTGATAAGCTAGATTTGGATCTGAATGTGGAAAATGAGTTACCTAGAAACATACTAAAAAACCACATAGAGGAGTTGTATTTCAATCTAAAGGTCGATTAATATTTATGAGAATCTACTATTAATTCTTTTTATTAATTTCATCGTGCATGTTATTTCCTTTATTTTTACTCCTTATTTCAGTAACAATCACATAGGGAGAAACTGTTGGAAATATTTGTATGTGATTGTCACTTGAAATAAGTTGAGTATTGATTTACATTTTCTATCAAAGATTACTAGAATGTTTCAAGTTGGAAAGATCCTGAAGTTTCAACAAGGGTTTGAAGAATCATATGTTGGAGCACTTGAAGTTGACATGGAGCATTTACTGAAGATGGAGCACTTTCTGAAAGCAAGTTGGATCATTATGATCTTAGATGGCACATCTAGATCATATGTGGAGCATCATGATGTTGATGGCTCAACATGAATAATTGGTGGCTCATCTCAAGTCAATAGATCAACATGAGCAAGTTGATGACTCATCAAGATTGCACATGGAACATCATGTAGAATAATGGCACGTCCAAGTTCTTAATGGCACATGTAGTTCGTCTATGGTCCATCATGAACACGTAGTTTTACATATTCAAGTTCAAGGCACATTCCAACATTCAAGAAACAACTGAACTTGATCAATGACACTGCTAAAAGTTGATAACATTCTAGAAGACAATGGAGCAACATGTTGCTCATGATGCTCATCATATATTCAATGTTGATCAAGAAGGCTCAAGAGAAATAAAGACTCAAAACTTGGATGGAACTCTAATGGAATACTAACAGAATTGGAATATTCCACGCATTCTCCATTAAGTAAGGCAAAGTTGTCAACTGATGATTAAGTCATGATGGCGTCTCAATGCTTGATTCGTCAGGCCATGTAATGGGCTTTTCCAAAGCCTATAAATAGGCCCCTTGGTCTCCATTATAAACTTGCTCTTCTAGCTCATCCTTGTGTATTTCTACTCATGTATGCTCATTTGGTATTTATACTAGATTTCAGAGAGCCATTTGAGTGTTTATTGTCTTTACCATTCAAACACTTATAACTGAATCTTTATGAATATGAAACAATTTTGAATCATGGGTCTTGAACATACAAAAACATTTTTATCATTAACTTGGCTGATTCACAACTCTTTATTTTCCACATTACTTGCCACTTGACAATTATTAAACTCTGTTTTTGTATTTTTAACACTTGGACTCTTCAAGTGTAGGTTTACTAAATTTCTCATTTCATCATAATAAAGTCCCTACAAAAACAAGAAAAAAGATCATCGGGTAAAAGTTTGATGGGACTAGGCTTGTTACATCTTTAGAGATATTATTCCAAACACAAACAACCAATTTCTTTACAATGACATCATTAGGATGTTTTTCAAGTTGTGAATGCTAAAAATAATGTCTCTTTGTAATCTTTTTTCCACTTGTTTTAAGTCTCTACCACCAGTTGGAGAGTAATGCCAAGTTATGGGTTTTTAGACATCTAACCATTAGACCTCCTTTACTCTAAGCAGTAATGATTTTTTACGAACCCGGCTAGCAAATAGATTTTTTGTCCTCGATACCATCGTAAAGAAACTTTAGTCAAATTCTTTTAAGATCATAAATGATGCCTTTTGGAACTTTGAAAATCGAGAAGTAATAGGTGGGGAAACTTTGAGAACGAATTTTGTAAGTGTCAAATGACAACCAAAGGATAAAGTTTTAGCGTTCCAAGATTGTAGCTTGGAGTGAAATTTGTCAATGATCAGTTTTCAATGTTTTTATGACCCATGTTGGCTTCAAATGGTACCCTTAATGTAAGTAAATGACAAATATCCTTTGACATAAAAAAGAATATAGGTCTACCTTTTGCTTTTAAGATTAAATTTGCAAATGCCAAATACCCAAGATTTGTGAAAGTTCAATTTCAGATCAAATGCTATGTGAAAATATCTAAGAATGCGAGCTAAATTAGAGATATAGAGTTTATCCCATTCACTTAAAAAAAGTAGTGTCATAGGTATAGAATAAGTGGGAAATATTGGGGACCTGATGAGTTTTGAGCATAACTACAACCTATGTGTTCATGAAACCCTAATTGCTTTAGATCTAAGTTTTTCACTAGTTGAACATGCAAATTGAATACCAAAGCAAAACCCTAGATCTAGCATCTAATTTTCGAAAATTATATAATAAAAGGGTTTTGATGTTTACCTTACTTGTTATGTAGAAATAATAAGAACACCATGTAGATCTTGACTCTTGAAAGCTTAGTGCCTTAATTGTTGCACCTCTAATGGCTTACAAACACCACTAGCAAAATGATGATAGGAGAAAGGAATGCACATAGAATTTCGGCTAGGGTTTGGAGTAGCAACCATTGGCCGCAAATCATATGTGGTGGGGTCTTTATATAGCTATGTGATGTTAGGGTTTGTTGTAGGAAACCCTAATTTCCTACTTAAGGCTTAACCAGAAGTACCTAAAACCAAAACTGAAAACTGTAAGCACGAAGCTTAGTGAATCTCCCCAAACTACCACATACCATACATATAATCACATAATCACATAAACTCCCCCTCCCCCGCCCTTTCCTCGGGCCCCGCCCGATATCGGACAGTCTCCGACATCAAGCTCCGCTAGGCATCAGGCCCCACTTCACATCGAGTCCTGCTCGGTATACATATTGTTTTCTACCAGGTCCTGCCTATCTCTGGGCCTTTCCTTCTATACACATACAACCAATACATATAATCATGCTAGTACATATAGAATCATACACAGTACCATATATTCAAGTCCTAAGGCATCGTCTATTATGGGCCTCGCCCCTACTCTACTAATGATGAGATATGGAACCTCGTCCATTCTCAGCTAGTGATGAGATACAGGACCCCACCCACACTCACCTCCCTACCTGAGACATAAAGTATCACAAAAACAACATGTATAACTAATCATCCATTCTTTCATCGGGTACCACAAGACATCGAACCGTGGTTCAGAAACATACATATAAACATTCCTCGGGCCCTGCCTGACATCGGACCAAAATCCGAAAGCATACAAACATTCATCGGGATTTCCCCAACATCGGAACAAAGTTTGGAAACATATAAAACAAGCACATGCAAGAATCACAAAGACGTCAAGCATACAAAGATTCCTCGGGCACCACCCGACATCGAACCTTAGTCCAGAACGTACTAAAATTCATAAATTGACCGGCATTAGTGCCTTTCACCCGTTCCTACAGGAGAAAACTCACCTGACAAACTTGACTGCAAAATCCTACGAATAAACCTCTGGCTGCTAGCTGGTAGGTCCACGAACTGTTGATCTCTCGACTCCTCGAGATACTGGGACAACCCTATTTTTCCCAAAAGCATTGTAAACACTCGAAAGCTAAAAACAATGAAATT